TCGAGAGTTTCCTTGGCTGTGTTTGGGATTATTGTCTTGCTGAAATGTCCACCCTTGTTTCATCTTCATCATTCTGGTACTGTAGGTGTTGGGACTGAACCAGCTAATATTAATTTCCACTGACTATAGGGGCAGAATTGCTTTCTAATTACTGATTGATTTTAGCTGGTGTCTTGGCTTTCCATACCTTTTTGCACCTCCCTTTCATCATGTGTTCAATACTTTTTCCCTGTGTCATTCCATTTTATTACACATAAATTAATTTCTGAACTTATTTGTTTTGTTTTCTTTGTATATATGGATTACTTGGGTTGTTACCGACATCTGGTGAAAATTTCAAGTCAACAGCAGCTTTAGAAATATATTTACTGAGAAAAATGGTGACGTGTTCCATACTTATTTTACCCGCTGTATTTAAAGCAAAGTGTGTGATTAGGCACAAGTATGGTAAGTATGTGATTATATATAGAAAATCAATTGCTCAAAAAATGCAGCTGAGACACTGGTCTACCTGAAATCGAGAGGGGGAGGACCTCTTCTCAGACAGGCTCCAGTGCATTGAGCTTTTGTATGCTGGGCTCCATGGCCAAGGTGGATGTGATGGAGGTGGACGGTTGATGAAATATTTCTCTCTCAGGTGGAAATTCTGCAGAATTGATCAAGAGTCATGCACTATCACTTAAGGATGTTCTCATTCTGACCAGCAGATGGTGCTTAAAGACTACTGCCTCTTTATAACCAAATCTTTTTCACTGACATATCACTTTGTAAACAAAAACGAACAGAAAAACATAAAAATTCAGAATTGTACATGTAAATAGTAGTTGTCTTTGCACATTAATTTTCAACAAAATGCTTGCTATGAAAATTTTGCTACAAAATTTTGCTAAGTGTACTGCGTTAAGCTAACTGAGACTTGTTATAGCACTTGTATATCATTGCTCTTTTGTTGATTTTGATTGCTTCCATTGTCCTCAAGTCGCTTTGGATAAAAGCGTCTGCTAAATGACTAAATGTAAATGTAAATGTAACAAAGAAAGGAACATGACTGACCTGATGTGAACTGATGCTCCTGCTTCTCTTGCTGGGACAGTCGTCTCGTGAAGGGGATGGATCCCAGTGTGGTGGTGACATATTGTGAGGAGGTGCTGGACGTTTGAGAGAGGGCCCTTGGTATGTCCTGGACTGAGTTGACTGTGTCCATTTGTCTCCCTGGGTCTGTGGGGGACGCCCAGTGGAACGCTGCTGCTGATGTGGACCCCCATACTGAAACAGGAAATAGCATCAAGTCATTCAGGATATTAAGAGTTCTTTTGTGTTTAGCTCATCTTTGATAGCACTGTATCTCTAGAAATGTGGATGGCCTCACCCTGTGTGGCTGGCTGCTGTGATTGTTGCTGCTAGAGAGGTGTCCTCCACACCCTGAGCTGTAGTTTAGGGTGGGGCGCACTGGATTATGGTGCTGGCTCTGTGTTGGTCCGCAGCCCCTCGGGACCCTTTGCTCTTTTCCAATGCCTCTGTCTCTGGGGTGTGTGTGGGGCCTGTCCCTGCTGAAACCTGGCGGTCTGTTTGTAAATAAAGAGGAATACTATCCATGAATGTTAATCCACAGCAGTGTTAACGTGGCAAATTTGCATATTATCTGTAACATATAGCATGCAATATTGTGCATGTCAAATCACAGTACATTGAAAACGTACATTAAAACACCTGGATGGCATGTTAGTAACATACAAGCAACATAAATAGTAACATTAGTAGAGTTATAAAAAGTGGTATAAAAACAGTAATATATACATTTTTATGACAAATTCTTATTTATATAATGTATAAATGTATAAAATACAATAGTTATAAGTAGTATAAGTTATAAATATTAAATAATATTACATTCAAACTGTAAAATAATTATTTTTAAAATTAAAAAAAAAATATATAACGAAAATAAAAATGTACAAAATATATAAAAACATTAAAAATATATATAGAATATAAAAATATAACAAAATATAAAAACGTACATAGTAATAATACATTGATTCACTAAATTATAATGTATGTGCCAAAAATACACATCATACAAGTGTACTAGTGGTGCAGTTGTGATAAAGCAGTGTGTAGGATGCAAATTGGGATTTCAGTACTATTAGAGCAGAAAAGAACGACTGACCTGTTGTTATAAGCTTTATTTGGGTAGCTTCTTCCTGCTGTGTAGTTTTGGGATGGGGATTGATAGTTCCCTCCACTGCACCTGAAAACAGAAGAACTGATGATTTAACAACTGTAAGATATACACAATAAAACAGTGTTCAATTAACGGATGCTACATTTCTAAATGTGTGTGGAGGAAGGATGACCTGGATGTAGAGGCCCAGTGCCGGTTGCTGCCTGGGGCCCATGGTGCTCGATTCGGCCCAGAAGAGGGGAAGGAATCCCACGAGTTGAGTCCAGAATACTGCTCTGCTATGTGATACATTCAGCCTGGGGCGAGACAAACACACGCACATACTAAAGCAATTACTGTAGCTGTTCACTCGTGATGTACCTTGTTCTGGAGAGAAGAAAGCGTCCTGTGAATACTCACCACACTGATGAGTCTGAGAATCCCTCCACTGCAGATCTCAACAGAGATCACTACACTTTCCCTCGCTTTCAATTTGAGCTTTTCTGAATAAAAGAAAGAGAGAAAAGAAATAACAAGAATGAATAAAGCATTCTTTCATAATATCACATGATAAGAGTAATGCCTTGCTTTGTGATATTTTTAGAAGAACATTAGTAGTGTGGATTGTCCTTCAAGGTAAATCTATGGGATTTTCCATCCATTGTAATTGTCCAACAGGTATCATTCAAGTCCCTATCAAACAATGCAGGACAAGTTACTGGTCTAATTACAATACTTAGGGTTAGGGATCTGACAAACTTTTAGTCTAAGCAATAGCAATAGTCATTGCACAGGAAGTTAGACACATAAAGATAGATGGAAATCAAGTGAGGGAGGGGACAGCAGAAAGGAAATCTTCAGGACGTGCTCTTGTAAATGATGGTCAATATCAGTTTCCTGAGAGAAAAGACAACATGGCTCCATGGTAGCCACAAGTATGCTAACTCTGTAGCATATTTGTGGCTACAATGCATAATGTGCTGCATAACACAACACAATGTCCTTAACTGTCAAAGAAATAAATCTCATTGTGATCTTCACGTCGCCCACACACCTTTGAAGATATTCTAGCACCTGACTGACGCTTCCTCTAGATTTGACTGAGGCAACAGATCAAACATGCAACGCTGGAACAAGTTCAACGCGAAGCATCTGCAGCAATCCACAGGCTCCTGTTCGTCTTATCTCTGCCCCCCACTCTCCACCCCACCCACACCAACTGTCCTTTATCATAGGAAGAAGAGTAACAAGTGTGCGAGTGTGTGTGAGGTTACAGGAGGCCATTTGTGCTCTTTTTGGTCCATGAATAGCTCAGCTCTCATACTGTAAAACTCCAGTTGTGCGTTCTGGTTCAGATCAGGACAGAGCAACTGCAGGCTCTTTGTGTTTGTTAAAGACTGTTTCACCTCTTATCTTCATCTCATAAAATAGCGCATTTAACACATACTCAGTTAAACACACACGCTTGAACTTTGACACATTTGCTAGATGTACAGGTATAACACATGGTAAGCATTTGCATGTTTCCTTCCACTCTCTCTCTCTGTCACACACACACATAGCCCATCTATTATGTTGAGAGCTCTTGTTTCTCATAAACAGCAAAGAGATTAAATGGAGAAAACATGGAGACTTGCCTAGAAATGTCACCTTCTCTAGAATTTCAGAAGAGATCTGAACAACAGGCATGTTTTAATCCATATATTTTAATGCACATTTTCCAATATTGCCTAAAAAATGCTAGACCGAAAAAAACAAAAAGTGCAAAAAACATGTACGCTCACTTGAGCTTGTTCTTTTCAAGAAAAGATTCGCTCAAACTACAATGGAAACACATTTACTGAATACATTCCTAGATCTCATGTGACTGTGTCATGTGAAAGTCATGCGATTGAATAATTCATATATATGCTTCATTAAGATTTTTTGCTTGAAGCTGATTAAAGTCGAATTTTCTCTCTGATGTATATGATGTATGCTGGACTTCTCCAATCATTTAGTCCACTTAAACCCCACCCCTTTCTTACAATCGACATTCCATTCAGATCTGGCTTCATCCAATCAACAAGCAATGAACGAAACCAAACCAAGAAAAGATCTGTCGCTACTTCCGTTCATCATGACTTTAAAGGAATAGTTCACCCAAAAATGAAAATTACCCCATGATTTACTCACCTTCAAGCCAACCTAGGTGTATATGACTTTCTTCTTCCAGACGAATACAATCAGAGTTATATTAAAAAATGTCTGGCTCTTCCAAGCTTTATAAAGGCAGTGAATGGGGGTCGAGATTTTGGAGCTCCAAAAAGTGCATCCATCCAACATAAAAAGTGCTCCACACGACTCCGGGGAGTTAATAAAGGCCTCTCTAGTGAACCCAAGTACATCAGTTAGCGATTATGGTTTATAAAGTTTTAAATATGGATATTTTTCTTATACAAGCACATCGTTTCGCTTCAGAAGACCTTTATTAACTCCCCAGAGCCGCATTGAGCACTTATGATGGATGGATGCACTTTATTTTGCTTCAAAATCTCGACCACGATTCACTGCCATTATAAAGCTTGGAAGAGCCAGGAAATTGCTTACTGCATGTCTGCTATTGTCTCAATTGTTTTTATCTTTTCTGATTGTAAGGAAATTTAGGATAACTATCTGAGACAAAGCTGATACTTCAACGAATCTTAACTGAGAACTACATAAAGTCTCCTGAGCTTCGAAAAGCACCTCTGTGAAATGTCCTTTTTATTTGCCAACGTTCATGTGAGCGTCCTGTCCCATTGTAATCAAATTTTAAAGCAGACCAACAATGCACTGTCAAACAGGTTGTTATATCAGATTACACAAACCTATCCAGGTACATCACACCTGTTCAGTCCAAACCAGACTCTCACAGCGTGCCTTCACCAGCGAGGATACAAAACACAATGATGCAAGACTGACGTGCAAAAGTGGGTTGTGTGTGTATGCCAACGTTTTTATGACATGCTGCTAATGTAGGTAGCCATAGAAACCCAGCAAACTGTTCCGTTGGAAAGGAAGTGGCTCTAACTTCCTGTAAAAATGTGACACTGTTGTGCAGTTGTGGTCGTGACCTCATACACACACTGCTGAAAAATATCTCACTTTTACAAACGAGTCTGAAATGTCTTCCCTACATGAATTTTTTCAAGTGGTTCAATTGTGATTGTGGTTGTTATCAGGCCTCATTGGGATGCATGAGTGAAGAGTCTCACATCTCATGGATGAGTACAGCTTCTTTGCATTACATTCAAATGAGGTGCGATGCAGACAGACAGTTGGAGAATCATCCGAAGAGCTTTCACTCATGCATCTTCCTCTTCCTATAAGCTTTTATGAGTCTCTCCAGTTTCACACACATGCACTTAGATTAAGCAGGAATTGCATTAGAAAATAATGGGCCTAAGGCTGTCCAGCAATGTTCGTCTTAAATTTCTTTTTATCCCATATCTTGCTTTTCTTAGTTTAATCGAGTCCATATCAGTAACCACAGTAATTCTGCTTTTGTATCATAGTTCTACAGGGGTCATATCATATTTTTTTCTCTCTGAGGCATACTTATAATGTTAATCAAGATTTTTTGCACCAAAAACACTCATAATTTTAGTATATGTATGCATTTAGTCAAATTAAACAGGCCAATTTTGCTGTTGTGCCTTTAGGACTCTTATGTAAACTGACTTTTTGCATAAGAAATGACTAACAGCAGATATGCTGTGATGTCTTATTTAGTGAGCACGTCCTTGTTTCTTAATAAGAGCCTACATTACATTGTGACGCATAATAAACATGCACAGATACTGAATTTGCAGCATGAACTGTTAAAATCAAACTGAAATGCTTAGGGATCTTGCTAAAAATAAACCCTTTCATTCCCTTTTTTCCTAATGTTGGGATCCAGAAGGATATGCTAAGACAGAAAGAGCAAAACATTTGGCATTATTTCCCACATTTTACTCATTTCCATTAACATTTCTTATTCCGGTATCTTGGAATAATAGTATACTTCCTCATTAAATTATTGAATGAACTCGGGTTTTGACATCTGAAATTTTATTACAAGTCATTTTGGATGATTAGTTTTTGGATCTGTTCCAGTTCCATAAAATTTAATGATATGACCCTTTTAAAACCCCCAAAACAGTTTGATACTCTATAGAAAGCCACACAGTCTAGAATCCACATTGATTACGCTGACTCGAACTCTTCGCAAAACTCAACAGTAAAGCCAGGAATCCAGTCGAAAACAAAGAGTCTGCGGTGACTGTCCATCTGAAACAATATCTCATGAGAGCTGAGGGGAACTACAGCAGGAATCAAACAGTCGGAAAGAGAGAGGAAGAGTGGGAAGGGAAAAATAGGGGCGCCACTGCTGTCAGGAGCAGCGAGATTGTGTTACTGACTGATATATGAGAGAAATTCAGACTCGATATTCAGCGAAAAAAACCCACGCACACTGCAGACGTAAACAAAAGCGGCTAGGCCGAACTGCGAGGGGTTTCCTGTTTAAACAACTAAATTAGATATGTTGTGCGTCTCTAAATCATATCACGTATGAGAATTTGAGGTTTAGCTGATCAGTTTCAGTTTCAGACGCAGAACGATATCTAGCTTCGTAACATGAATGAGTAAAACGTCTTTTATTTGCGTATTTCACGTCAAGCAGGACTTTGTTGTGGAGAAAACTGTGTTTTAAACAGATTATATTTGCTGATGTGGGACCCTCGGTGTAACCGCACGAACGTGATTCTCTACTACGCTGTCAAATGATCAGTCACACTTTCTGAGAGAGTTTTTCTCACAGGATTTCTGTCTCTCTGTCTTGTTCTTTCACGCTTAGGTAGTGGTGCCATTGACGCTTACAAGTCGTTAAAAACTTGACATGCTATGGCAGCTGTTGGGGTCACAGTCGGTGGGGTTTATGAGTTGATATCCAATCTGAGAGGCAGATATTGACATGCACACATATCTCATATTACTCTAAATAAACAGAGACAGAGACTTGCTCTCGCACATGAGGTTTATATCAGATCAAGAGTGTGTGTTATAACAGGCCCGATGCATTTGCTGGTGGATTTAGGTCATTTAACATATAGGGCAGCTAGGGACAAACTAATTTGATAGAAAATACCTCTGATGTAAGGTAAGCCTGTGAGAAAATAAAGACATACAATCTCTCATAGAAGCCTTCTTTTGAAACACACTCACACATTTGCACTTACACACTCTCTACTTCTGCCTGTCAAAGGAACAGTGGACCCAAAAATGAAAATCGGTTGCAAGTATGAATATGCACAAGTGCAAATGACATTCGAGGGAGATAATAAAGTGCTCCATACGACTTTTGCACTATATTACAAATCTCCTCAAGCCACATAATAGTCTTCTTTGATTTGGTGAGAGGAACTGAAGTCGTTATTCATTGTTGTAGATCTCAAATATCATTCATCCTTAACGAATCAATGGATTTTGGTGCCACTGA